GGAGAAGCGCAACTTCCGGGTCGCGGGGTCACTCGCGAGTGACCGGAAGCGGCCGTTGGCGCCGTGTCGGCCGCCATCTTTACTACGGGAAGCTGCTTCGCCTTGCTTCTTTTCCTCTTCTAGGCGAACGTATCCGTATTTAAAGCGGCAGTTTTACAACGTAGAGTGAGCGCGTCCCTGCCGACGTTAGAATGAGTCGACCTTGGGCGGTTTATTTTGTCCTGGAACCTTCTCGGGCCATCCATCTTTGTTAAGGGCACGGCTGACCCCTCCCAGGAGGTTGGTCGCCGAAAGCACGTGACGGGTACGCGAGAAAAAACGGCGAACGTATAGGCGTTACTGAGGCTATTTAAATCAGGGAGCGGAAGCGGAACTAGCAGATTCTGCTTCCTTTCAAGGGTCCCATCTTGGTTGAGGTCGCAGCTTCCCCCGCCATCTTTGTTCTGGGCTGATGCGGTTTGTGCTTAGCATAATGCGGCACCGCTGCGTTTGGGCACCACAGTCCACTCGCAGCCTGGGTTGGACCGCAGCTGCCAGAATGGTGGGGATATAACAGCTGGCCTCCCTCGCACCCGGAGGGCGCTCGGTTGGGGAAGCGCGACCGCTGCAATCCTCTCGCGGACTTCCGGAACTCTACGGCCCGGGCTTCCGCCGGAGCCGCCGCCATCTTTGGAGTGGCCTGCTTTGCGCCGGAAGCTCCATCTTTGTTAGGGGCCCAGCGGACTTCCGGGATAGATTGACCCGGGACGCGTGGAACCCGGTCGCGTGGAAGCTCCGCCGGGGATTTGGAGCCCGAGGCCGGAGCGGCGCGCGGGGCGCTGGAGCCGCAGAGCTGGCGGAGCTGAAGGGGTGGGGACCGGGCTGGAGGGGCGCCGGCCGGCCCCCGAGTTCGCTTATTTGGTTATTTACGCGCCTGTAGTTAGCCTGTATTTATAATCAGCCTGTTATATATTTAGACACACACACACACATATATGTAGCCTATTTATACGTATAGCCTATATTATAAATGCTATATTTATACAGAATTAGCTCATTTTCTGGGGGTTTACAGGGCAGCAGGCCAGAGGTAAAGCTAACCCGTGTGGCCCGTTGTGCAAATGCAGCCATTAGATCAGTGCTTCCCAAGCTTGGCCCCTTTCAGATGGGTGGACTTCAGCTCCCAGAATTC